GCTCTTACAAAAATCCAGACATCAATTGTATCAAGCATATGTGAACATGTTGCCATCATGATCTTCTAAACGTTTACTTTCTATTGAGCTCTTAGTATCAGCTCCTCTACTCACTGTGCCCCCTCCCCTCCCCCCTGAAAATACCACATTTTGTTTGTTGCCAGGTGTTGGAGTGTTCTCTCAAGTTGGGGCTTTCATGTGATGAATATTCCTTGGCAAGTTTGTGAATGAATGTTGTCATTTATCTTAGGTAAACACCTAGGTGTGGATTTTCTGGGCTGTGCCCCCAAACTCACTGCCACTAAGTAGCTTCTGACTCAGAGTGACCTTTTAAGGCAGAGGAGAACTGCTGCTTTGGGATTGCAAGGCTATATATAAATCTTTATTTGGAGCGGACAGCCTCATCCCTCTCCTGTGGAGCAGTGGGTAGATTTGAACTGCTGACTTTGCAGTCAGCAGCCCAACACGTAACCCACTACACCACCAGGGCTCCTCTGGGCCATAGGGTAGGTAGCTTTAACTGTATTCGAAATCGCTAGACTTCCCCCGCCTAAGTGGTAGTACCCTTTATCACCCTCACCCATTGGCTTAAACTTCACATCCAGCTTGCTCCTCCTCCAGGTTTCCTCCTCCTGGAGTGCCTTTCCATCAGTTTCTATGAGGCTGGCTCCTAGACAATTAGGCCTTCCAATCACCATTCTGTAGCCATTATAATAATTGATTTTAGGCAAGACGCTTCTAGGAGTGAGTAAAAGTTGGAGGCAGAACCAGGTATTTAAAAAGTCTCCAAAGATCTTCACAAGAGTTACTAACTGCAAAGGGAAAAACAGTAACTTTGCAGTGGGGCAACTGGATAATCACGTCTTCAAATGTAACATCCCCAATGTTGAGACGAGGGTCATGTGTGCTTGTCTGCTGACGGGATGGTTGGAGGGTTGAATACACCAGCCCGGCTTCGGGAGAAAAGTTTGACAATCTACTTAAAAAAAGAAAAAAAATCAGCCACTGAAAATCCTTTGGGACACAATGTTTTAATCAAACGCATGTGGAGTCATTCTGCGTCTGATTGAACTCCACAGCTTTCCTTTCCATATTAGGGCAAACCAATGCCATTACCTTCCGATTCCTACACCAGAGGACAGAACATCCCTTCAGCAGTAGTCGTGTCAAAACCGCATTAACCGGGACCCAATCATGACAAATCCAAACTGGGAGGCAGTCTACAAAATAACTGGCCAGTACTCTTCAAAATGCCACTCATTAAGACCCGGAAAAGCTGAGGACCTGCCTGCCTTTCCAGATGACAGAGAAGAGAAGTGACAAGTACAGGCAACACGTGATTCTACACTGGACATTACGGGGGCAATAAGCTAAACTCAAATAAAAGAGGTGTGTCATTGTTAAAATTCCTAATTCCCTACTGAGTAAGAGAATATCATTAAGAAGTCGACACAGAAATACAATGTATAAAGAGGCAAGGTTTGAAATGTACTTCAAAATGGTTTAGGGCAGTGGTTCTCAATCTTCCTAATGCCGCAACCCTTTAATACAGTTCCTCATGTTGTGATGACCCCCCCAACCATAAAATTATTTTTGTTGCTACTTCATAACTGTTAATTTTGCTACTGTTATGAATCGGGCGGGTCCTGTGAAAGGGTCGCTTGATCCCTAAAGGGTTATGACCCACAGGTTGAGAACTGCTGGTTTAGGAGGAAATCATATACATATATTCACATTCTATCTACACACACAATGTACACACATCCGCTCACACAAACACATGACAATGATATAGCAAAATGTAACCATTTGTTAAACGGGGGAAAAATCGATCCGTTCCTTACATTTGTAATTTATTTGTAAATTTGAAATTTATCCAAGAATAAGTTAGAGAGGCCTCCAATGACCACGCTATTAGAAGTCCCTGGCCACTGGACATTTTTTACCAGATATTTCCTGTCCATCACATTCATCAAAAACTATCCCTTGTGTTCATGTCATAACCCCTAGCATTCATTGTGTGTCAAACCCTGTTCTTGCCATCTGATAGCTGGGTAACAAGACACAGGTAACCGGTCAGTTAACTTGCCCAAGGTCACTCAGCCTGTTTTCTGTCTCCTCCAATGGCACAGAGCCTTAACTAGGGCGGGGTTGTCATCTGGACCACTGACCTTTCTCCAGAATGGTGCCTTATAAGCAGTCAGTCAATATTTGCAGGCTCAGTCCAATATTTATTGGGCAGCGGCGTCTAAAGCGTTCAAAAAGTAATATCTAAGCAAAGATCAGCTTAAGCACCAACTCCCAAGGCGCACCCAATTTAGTGTTTATCTACCAGGGGCCTTCAAAAAGTTGGCGGGAGGAAAAAAATGGAATTAAAAGATAATGGAATTTCTCCCCCGAGCGTTTTGATGTACATCGTGCTACATTAATATTCATTGCAGATCAGTCCGTGTTGACTCGTAGCAACAATGGGGATAAACAGATCTCATTTAGCATGTTTCCCTTCGTCCTATCAACGCTGGATAAGGCCGATCTGATGCATTTGGATGCAAAGGAAACTGACGAGGGGGTGGACGTGACTGGTTCGCGGGCTCGTAGGAAGCCGGAGCGAGATTCCGACGCAGGGCGCGAGGCTCCCGCAGCCGAACTACCACCGAATCGGCCAATCCAATCCCCGGACCGGCATTTATAGGACCCGGGCGGGTGCAGTTCGGCTG